CTATCCCCCTTTTCAAAGCAGGAAACAGAAGGTGCAGTAGATATCATGATGAGGGTCACTTTAGTAGCCAGAGGCACAACTAGGACTAAAACCTTCATGCTCTGGGGTCACTTGTTTGTGATGACTACACCTGCTGTAACAGGTTGACAGAACAGGCTCAGCAGCTTTTCACAGGGAAACGTTCTGGGTCTGTCAGAGGTGCAGAGGCAGGTATCCCTGCTGCAGTTGGGAGGGCTTGGGGAGGAAAGGAAATCTCGTGGGTGGGTCCCTTTTATACTCCATTGTGTCGATTCCTACGCGGGTAACACAGACAGTGCTGGGGGCCATCCCTTCAGTCCTGAATGAACACAGGTACCTGTACACAGTATCCAGATGCTATTACCTTGCCATATTTGAGTCATGTGATCCCACTGTCACCACATGAACACAGCTTTGTGTATTTTATACTTGGACTTGGGCTACTCCGTTTTCTTCATGGAGGCTGCAGGCAGAATTCAAGATCCACTTGACAAGTTGCCCTGGAAAGTTCACAACACAAAAGTCTCCCTCTGACTTTTGCTGGCATTATGAGCCTGTGATTACAGTTGTGGGTTCCCTTTCTGAGTGACACCACAGCTTCAATCTCCAACCAGAGTGGAGCCACAGGAAGCTAGTTAAACCCTGTATCATAGACTAACATATTGACATCCTCTCAATTACCCAGCCCTCTTGATGCCATGCAAACTTCTCCCAGCACCTGCTGATTGCAGCAACACAGCAGGACTGCTTCCATCAATTTGCTAATCAGCTCCTTTCCCTTCAAACCTATTGGTAAGTCCAAAATCAGAAGCAGAAATCAATATAGGAGCATTGGAACATTATACTTGTATGCACAACTTAAGGCACAACAGGCCTCCAAATCGAATTCACCTCCTCAGAGCTATCAGTCTGAACTACGCAGATCAGAGAATTGCGGAGCAAACATGGCTACTGCACAAGGATAGAGGTGATTTGGCAAAGTGCCCGAGGCAGCCAGCGCAGCGCTGATACCAAGCAGAGCCATGCCTAGGGGCTTCCTGCCCTGTGTTATCACCATCCCATTCCATTCCATATCCACTGCTGAGCTGCAGAACAATAAAGTTTCCATCAGTTGGATTACTTGCAAGAGCAACTGGTTAAAATGTCAAGAACCGTGGAATGCACACAGCTGAGTTCCCTAACTGTCTAAATTGACAGTCTCTCCAGGAATGAAGTAGAGAGTCCAGAGGGCTTTTCCTCTTTGGAACAAGCTGTGTGAACTTCTTTTGTAAAACTCATCTCTGTGTGACCAAATGACAGTGTTCATCGATGTCTTAAAAAGAAACATCTTGTATTTTTCATGACAGACAAGGCATTGTGCTTCAAGGAAGTTACAATAACTTGAAAGCAGGACCTTGCACATAAAACTTTGTTGCTTTTTGTTTAGATTTTTAGCAAGTGCCAGAGACTACAGAATACAAATTAAGGATATATAAAAGGACCATCCCGTTTGAGAGCACTGGAGTTGTTAATTATTTTGACCCCAACGTATACCCTGTTGGTGGATCCTATGCCCTGTTCTAGTGTTCAGTGTACTCATTGAATGGGGAATTCACTGATTTATAATCACAGATTCTCTATTTTTTTCATTAACAAATAAATGAGTAGCAAGTAACTTGCGGGTAATTTCCACTCAGCAGTGAGTACGAGAAAGCTTTTAATGCACTGTGCTCCAGGGTTTGGCTCTTCCTCGGCTGCTGGAGAACAGGCCAAGAGACATGACTAACTCGTCAGCTGTCTCCAAGTCTTTCTGCAGCCCACTCTGTAGCAGGCATCACTGGCTTTTTCATTGACTTAAAAGCAATCCATTGCCACTGTATTACTGTTAATTCAGTGAGAATCTCCATTTAAGAAAGTGAGAACTGAGTTGAGTAGCTAGAGAGTGGTTTAACTGAAATGACTTTTGTAATCATGGCCAGAAGAAAACGGTAGCATTATCAGTGCCTGACATATCAGGTTAGGGGGTACTGCACAGTTTGAGCCACCGGGATGACTGAGTGTGTAACCCTGGTAACCTTTACAACACCACTGGTTCTTTCGGTAAGACCCAGACCTTTGCTGTGAAGCCTAGGTGTAAGCTAGGTAATAACTTTATTGTTTAAAAGTTCCTTGATGAATTCACATCCATGTTTGTGAGCTTAGAGTTTCCACTTTCAAACTGGTTAAGAGTATGGAATGATTATGGCTTCAGAGCTGGGGAAATGAGGTTTGTACCTTTATTCAGACAACCAGTCATGGAAATAAAAGGAGACAGTCCTTGATTTGACACTATCAGTTGGAACCAGTTGTTCTTCATATTAGCTATGAGCAAGTGAAGTGGAAACACGATTTTAAGAGGATGCTCATGTCCAACCTAGAGAACTGAATATAAAACTTAAAACCAGTGAGTATTAGTGGGATTTGGGAAAATGTATGGCTTGTCTCATGGAAGGAGTGCTTTCTATCATTTTATAAAGTGTGGCTAATTATTGTTTTCAACAAACATATTTCAAAATTAAACTTTGAAAAGCAGTCTAGTCATGTTTTTAATAATATAATTCCATACCAGCTGGAACCTGGGGAATATCAGGAGGAAACATAGTTTGCAAAGCAGCCACCTTTGATTAAATATGGGACCTGTACACTTGGATCTGACAGCTGGGAAATGATCCACAAAACAAGGCTTCCCTACAGTGAAGAATATTCAGCTGCAAAGATGATGACAAGGAAATGCTTAGAGTAAGTGAAGGCAGTGCTGGAGTATGCAGCTCACCTTCACTTTTGCAGGGGGAGAGGAGTGGACTTGGATTCATGCATCTGGGTAACTGGTAGGCTGCCTGCCCAGGCCTGCACTGACTTTTTACTCTCTCCCACCTATGAGCTATATTTTCAGCTGATTTATTTTGTCCTCTGCTTTAGCCTCTCCATCTTTATAGTGAGAATAACATAGGCAATCTAGAAGCATTGGTGTCAGGACTAAATTCAAACTCTTACATACTTCACATAATGTTTGATAACCTATAGCCCCTTAGAAAAGTGTATGGGAGAATGTATAGAAAATAAGCTCTCAGTGATCTTCTGTGATTTTTTTTTATAGCTTACTGCTACTTTTAACAATGAAAATGCACTACTTTTCTAGAGGCAGCTTTGTTAAAGGTGTGTGTACACAAAGGGTCAAAGCCCTACACTGCCTGAGTGGTACTAGAAAAGGCATAAGTATGGGAGAGATCTGAGGATCCTACATTTCAACTACCTTGCTTGCCCAGAATGATCCTCCAGCAAGCTTGGCCTAGGACCCAGGTCTCCAGACTAGGTGTGGAGGGATACAGGAGTGAAAGGCATGTTGCTCTTGCATTAGAGACTGGTTATTCAGTGACTGTTACAGAGGGAGAGTGGAAAGGGGCAAGGGCTAGAGATGAAAGAATCACGGTGATTGTGTGAATTTGGATTTAGGGCATTGGAAAAACAGGCCTAAGTGGAAAGCAGTGAAAGCAGTTCTGGTGCAAAGAAGACCATGTGTTTGGTTCTGACTACTGTCCACTCTGAGAAACCTCACCTGGGTTTTATCTTCCAGAAGGTTCTGATCTGGATGTGCCGCTATATGTCAGAGAAGAGATAGGGATAAGGACTTGGAAAAAGATTTTGTGATATTAAAAGATGAAGCTGTGATGAACAAACTTTTCAAAGTTCAGAGAAGAGAATGCAGCTGAAAATATCAAAGGGTTGAGGGAGGAGCTGAGAGAGCCAGCTGAAATTAAAATGAGAAGAAGGAAATGACACGAAGGAAGGGGAACATTTGAGTAAAAGAGCCAGTGTCCCTGTTTCACAGTCATTCTCCAGTCTGAACCGTAGGAAGGAGGTCAGGAAAAATAAACTTAGGGAAAGAAACTAATGGTCTTTTGCCTTCAGCTAAGACCATGTCACTAGTTATTAGAAAATAAAGCAGGCTGAATCTCCTGCGTAAAAAATGAGGACAGTTGGATGTGATGGCTGAGCAGTCATGGCTTATTCAGGATAGAGGACTCTATGAATATTTGAAAGTGGGAAGAAAAAGCTAAAGCTTTGGGGAGGTAGAAGATAAGCCTAAACAAGAGTCCTCAGGAAGCTAGAGAGGAAGGAGGTATTCAGAGAGGAAGGAGGTATTCAGAGAGGTAACACAGGATTTGCACTATTTTCTGAAAGTAATTCAGGCAGCTTAATAAGTTCATTAATTCCCTGAAAACCATGTAGTGAATGCTTTAGATTTTTCTTGAATCCAAGTACCATTAGCCATCTCTGTCACTGAAACCCAATGAAGCATCTATCCTTTGAATGTAGATAATCAGCAAATTTAGACAGAGGAAAAAGTTATAAACAAAATACTTTCTGTACTGACAAACAAAATTTTTCTTCTGTTTTCCTGTCTGTGGAATTGGTATAATAATAAAGTGTTCTTTGAGGACAGGATTTAAAAACACTAAATAGCAGACTCTAATGTCCATTGTTAATTATGAGTATATTCTCATACTTTATTTCCATCTTTGTAAAAATATGTTTATGGAAATCCAATTAGGCTACTAAGTAGGCTTACTTTTTTTGTTACTTTTCATGTAAAACCTTATCACTCACCTAAATCTATGAGGCAGCACATCTGGGATCTACCTGGCAAAGGACACAGAATGGGCTCTACTGTTTGTTGATTGATTTAATAAACACTACTTTCAGATTAAAAGTGAGCTGTCATCAGGTAATTTCACCTTCACAGAAACTTTACAAGACAGGTATTTTCCCCCTTTTAGATGAGAAATTTCATCATCCCCAAATGCCTTATGTACATGAACAGCTCAGGAAGATAAAGCTGTTCCTAGAGTCATCTAGCACCTGTAGCCCGGAATCAAGCTTCCGGATGCCCTGAGCCTGGTCTTTCTTTGTATTGTCACCTAATTCTGACTCTGAATTTTGTCTCCTTTTTCTTCCCCACTCAGGAAATGAGCAGCAGCCCATGAGTGAATGGCTTCTCATCACGCTTACAGCAACCCTCTGCTTCGTCTCCCTAATTTCCTTACTGCTCTGCAGAATGTAAGTATTCTTTATGTTAAGTGCTTCCAGTCAGGCCTGAGTATTGACCTCTGAGTCTTACTGTGCAACTACCAGCCAAGAGATAGTTCTTTTTATCAGGGGGAATTTACAGCATTTTTTTTTTTTTAATCTGGGAAGGCTTTTCTGAGATGAGTACAGGCCAAATCAGAAGTGAAAAACATCACAAGGTGATGTACAGAAACTGAACAGAGCACAGCATGGCTGTCGGCCGCTGCACACTCTTTCTCAAAACTTTCAACAACTTACTGACTTCTGTGAAGTTTTCACCTTTGTATTCTTGATTCCTGAACAGCCTACCCAATCACTATGTGTTCACCTTTGTTAAGTCACCAGCGTGAGCCTCTTTGTTATACTTCAGGTGAAGGAAGGCAGCATATTGGAGGCTGAATTCACCATGCTGCCTTTACAGCATGATCCTCCATCATGAGGGCCAGCTCCTAATCAGCCCTTGCATCACCTGGCCTCCAAGTGCCTGATGGTGAAGGAGAGATGTGGGCTGGGGCAAAGCTGGTCAAGTACGTGGGCTTAATCTGTTCAAGCCATGAGACCTATGGCACAAGTAGACTCTGCAACTTCTGAGCCTAGTACTGGGAACCAATCAGAAAAGTGCTATCTTTAATTCGTCTACTTTTGGTGCAAAACTAAGTGAGTCCTTTGTAGGACAATTTCGATCTGGCACCAGGTCGAGTTTTTGATAGGCCAACATCCCAAATGCCGTATATGCACAAGACAGAAGGCTCTCTAGGAATTCCAGATACAAAAGACTCCCCTCCAGTATTCTCATAGCCCCTGAGCCTTTTCAACAGCCTGCTGTTACTTTGCAGAGCCTACTTCTTTTCTACCTTTTTTGTGTATCTTGTCTAATTCTTTGTTCAGGACAGCAAGACTCTGGAAAGGATTTCTTTGGGACCCAAAAGCCAGTAACAAATAAAGCCTAGAAATATACAAATGTGGCCTCCTCTCTGGGGGCCCCCACAAATGATCCCATAAACATTCTCCATTTACCTTAGCTAAGGCAAAGTTCCTTTTAGTAACATCTTTAAGAACATGGTCTGTCTTGGCCTTTTCAAAATGTAGAACATATTGAACAAATTTACTATTATAAATGTTGCATTTAGACAGCATCAGTCAATCAGTTGGGGGTCACAGTTCAAAGGAATCAAAAGAAACAAAACTGTATGACTCAGAGCAGCTGGAAAAGGAGGCTACAACTATGATTATAAGTAATGGAGAAGCACTGGATCCTGGACATTTACAGTTCACTTTCAGAAATGAGGCTCAGCAGTGTACACAAATGTGTGACAGTAACTGTTTGATTGTTTGTGGATGATTCAGAAGCCACATCACAACCTTGTGGCACCCAAGGGCCTTCAACTACTATTATGATGTCACATATTGGGGAATTTGGACCAGTGAAGACTGTGAGTTTATGAAACAAGTAGTCGTAGACTTAAGGTCACCTTAGAGTATATGTTTACCCAGTTTCTTCCTTACTCTGTTTTCAGATATCGCTTATGGCCCAAGTTGTTTCCGCCAGTACCAGCACCAAAAAGTAGCATCAAAGATCTCATTGTGGCCACTAACTGGGAGGTAATATTGCAAGTTCTTGTGACATGTCCTAAAATCCCTGGTAGCTGCCTTGATTTTTGATTTTCTCTCTTATAAAGCAGGGATTTTCTCAGGAGGCCAGGAGCCTGTTATTTCACTTAACAGTAAAATTTTAATTTTCATTTCCTATCAGCCATAATTTTTTCCTCTTTTTTTGTTTTGCTTTTTTGAGACAGGGCCTTTTTTCATAACTCAGGCTGCCTCGAACACTCAGCAAGTGTCTTGCCTCAGCTGCCCAAATGCTGGGATTGCAGGCATGTGTCATCAGGCTTAGTTCTATCAGTCATCTTTTAAGTGAATTTGGACAATTCTAACCCTAGGAATCTCAACTTCCTTTTCTGGTGTATAGTAAGAGGCATAGATGAAAATTTCCAGTGTTCTGCTTAACTCTAATGCTTAAATTTTCTATGTTCCTGCAAGTCAGTAAAGAATTTTCAAGGCAACTTTACTATACGAAAAAAGAAATGAACAATATTAAGAAAAGGAGAGAGAAAGTGCTATGGTTTAAGTCTAGATGCTCCAAACCCACCCTCAAGCCGCATGCAGTCATAGTTGAGACTGTAGGAAGGTGACAGGGTCATGGTGCTGACAGCTGATAGTTATTAGGAGATGTGTCAGCCCTGTAGAGGTGAGGCAGTGGGGCCATGACCTGCAAGGGCTTGTCCTCCACCCTGCGCCACCTCTTATCTCGTTCTGCACCCTGCCTGTTGGGCTGTGTGCAGCTCTCCTCAGCCAGGGACCCTGGCCAAACCCCTGGTTGGTGCCCCTTGGCCACGCCATCTCGCAGCCAAACCAGCCAACTGTGAACTGCACTACAAACTGAGCTAAAAATAAAGCCACTCCTTTTTTAATTTTCAGATTTCAAGTTTTTTGTTTTTTGTTTTCCCAGCAACCAGGGAAAGAACTAAGACAGAAAGATGCTTCCCCGAAAATGAATTTTCAGAGTCCTACTCACCATTCAGCACATGAGCTTAGCTGGTCACTTACTTGTGGCTCTCCAATCTTCCCAGTGCTATTTGCTAAAAACCTTATCCTTTCCCCCAGGGAACTGTCCTGACATCTTGTCAAAAAGCAGTTGTCTATGTATATGTGGGTCTATCACTACACTATCACTTTATTTTCTTTGGTTTATTAGTACATCTTTTTGGCAAAATTACCCTGCTATGCTTACTGTAGCTTTATTGTAAACTTGAAGACCTAGTAAGACCTCCAAAAATGATTTTTTTTTGCAAAACAGCTGGAATTGTAAGTTGTGTTGTATAACATGAGGAAAAGCAGTGTTTGAGTAATCTGCAAAAATGGTATATATCTTTATATTTTCTTTAATTTCTGAGCAGTGTTGGTGAGTTTCAGTGAATAGTCATTGAACTTTACTGAATTAATCCATAAGTTGAATTGTTATCTTACAGGTCAACAAACTTTTTCTCTAAAAATCCACATACTAAGTACTTGAAGGCCAAATAGTTTATTTTTCATCTTATTTCTCTGTGATTACAGAGCTAAAAGCATTCACAGAAAATGTGCTAAAAAAATTAGCAGAGCTGTATGTCAATAAAATGGTATTTAAAAAAACAGTAACAAGCCAGATCTGGCTATAGTTTGTTGATCCCTCATTTAGATCAAGCAATTTTTTTTTTAACAAATTTAGATTTCCTCTCAAAAAAGTAATACAAATTGCTGGAGGATAGGGTGACAGGTCATAGGAAAAAAGGGAAGGTTTATGAAAATCTCAATAAGGTGTGGAGTTTCAATAACTTGTGACCTTTCATTAGAGTTTTGCAGTTTTGGTGTTTGTGATCATTTTCAGAAAGAATAAAGCTGAGAAAAGTCTCTCTGTCCCTGGCTTGATCTTTCTGTTTTCATTAATTGAGGCGAAAGGCCCATCTGTTTTGTTTACCCACAGGCTTTTGGGAAGGAGAGTGTGTCTCCTGTGGAACTTTGAGAGGGTTCATCAGAGTATGTGCTGCATATCTTTCTTTGCTATGGAAAACAGAACACAATAGATTTAAAGAGCAGGTTGCCATCATTTGTCCTGGTCTCTTGATGGACCATCTTAATGCTGTTATTTAATTTCTTTACAGAGTCCTAAAAGATTTCTTTTTATGTCCTAGGTTTGGAGAAAGAAACTGACTTGACAACTTATTATATAAGCTTGAGTTTGGTTGTTAATTAAAATCAACTCATGTTTACAATGTCATAGAGTAGACTGAATGGTTTAGCAAAGGTTAATAGCAAAGCTTAGTATGGGTTGGTTTCTCAGGACAACTTATTCTCTTTGCATAAAATTTCCAGTAAAAATGGAGAGGGGCAAAGTCAGAGAGAGAAAGAGAGACAGACAGACAGACAGACAGACAGACACACACACACACACACACACACACACACACACACACACACTCACACATAGACAGAGGAATTAGAGAGCCCAAGAGGGGAATTAAGATCAACTTTAAAAAATTTGAAGAAATGAGATGCTTGCTGAGAGACACCTAATGGAAGACATTTTCTTTTACAGAAAGCTGGTCCCAATGAGACAGAAATTGAAGCCATAAGTTACATAGAAGAGCCTGCATTTGAAATCTTGGAAAGTTCTGCGTTTTGATTGTCACTATGGTACTTTCAAATGAACTCACATATGTATCAATGATAAGAACAGGGACTATAGTTTTATAGCTGAGAGGTGCTCATAATTTACGGACCTCAATCTTCAAGGGAATAATTCAGACATTCAGACATATGTCATGTTTCTTCTGAACATGTGAATGCTTCATCAAAAGTCTCCTTGCTCACGTCCAAGTGACTGATTAAGATAAATGTTTTCCTATGGGATTTCTCCTCACGCTGTATATGACAGCACCTCCTCACATCTTCCCTCAACCTTTCCAGCACAAGAGATAATTTGTAAGGCTAATGTCAAATGTGCTTACTTCTGCCAATGCCAGTTTGGCTGTTTGCATTGCCACTGCACACCACTTTTCATCTACTGGGAATTCAACAACATTTAGTAGAAATCAAGGCCTTCAGTATTGGAGACTGGATAACAGGTTCTCTGAAGAATGCAACTGGAAGTACTAGGATACCAGTGTGTCTGATCATGAGGCTACCATGACCTGGATTTCTTTATGGTGATGTGGTAAAGTTGTGTATAAATTTTTGTATAAGAGAACAGAGCTTCAGAAATGGTTCATACTAGGCAGCTTGCTCGTAGTAATTTCATAATGGCAAATCAGAGAATTTGAACATTCATTTAATGATAAATACCATCATGTAGGGCTGATATAAGCTGAGCTCACAATATTAGCTCCCACCAGCATAAGTTGAAGAATCTTTCCTTTGGGAGCCTTCCCAGCCACAGGATCTAAAACAAATACTTGTTCTGCAAGACATCCTGTACACAAAGGATTTAGCCTCATCTCCTTCTTTGTCTCTTGGAATTTGCTGTGTGTAGCAGAGAGACAATGTGGGGAAAATTGGAGGGTGAAGTTCATGTTTGCCAATAGCTTGGCCACCTGAGCCTCACTGAAATGCTTCAGGCCTCAAGTTATTTATGCAAGGCTGGGGAAGAATTCACGTGGGCAAAGAACATCCTTATTAAAAATCCAAACATTTTCGTGGTGAGACTTGTATGTGTCAGGACCATCTGTTGGTGGAATTAATAAACCCTAGGTGCTAAAGAAAAAGTGGATATCTGGAAGCAAGAACAGTTAACTGAAAACAATCTTTGATGGCACGGGTAAAGGTGAAGAATCTAATTAGACTAGGACTTAATGTTAGCCTGAGGATCTTTGCGACAATGACGATGTCGCTATTTCTGCCTCCATATCTCATAAACTGAATTCCAGAGTACAAACTTTTTGAAAACTTTTCCTTTAGAATTTGATATCAAATTAAAAGACAATCTTGTATTTTCATCATATGCCTCTGTTTTAGTAACTAGGTAAGTTTGTAAATGTGATTCAGAATGAGATATGTTTAACATAGATGACAGTGAATGGTTCAAATCTGTATATTTATGAGATATCTATTCTTTATTTTATTTCCTACATTTTTCCTTTCTCTCTCCTCACTATTAATGTCATGCTAAAATTATTACCAACAGACTCTGAACTGAAATCTAGGCTTCTAGTATTTTCTCCGTTAAAGGCATATCTGCTTGAATTACCCTCTCTAGAATATTCATGGAATGCCTCGTTACCTTCAAATTAAGGTTCTTAAGAAAAACATTCACCATGACTTCACTTTTCCATAGCTCTGCAGCCAAAATCCGCTCCCCCACCCCTCACCTAGCAATGTACCATTTCTCCGTGAGCACTATAGTATCTCCTCCCCCAGTGATTCTACTTTGGTCTTCAAAGGAGAAAAGCCTCTTCAACCTTTTTTCATCTTGTCAAAACTTTGTTATAGATAAGAGCTCTTCACAACAAAAATTTCTACTTCACACTAAGAAAGCCTTTCTTAGCTGGGTACCTTCTTTTTCTGTTTGTTTTTGCTTTTTAGACAGAGTCTCACTAGTCCAGGCTGGCCTTAAACTTGTGGGAATCCTCTTGCCTCAGCCTGCCAAGTGTTGGGATTACAGGCATACACAACCCAGCTCGCCTTCTTTTTAATTCTATTGTCACATTTCGTAAAACTTTTTCATCTTATTCACAGCATAAACAATCAGAAATTAAGAACATTGTTTTACTTACCTTTCTGTCTGTGAACATTGAATAAGAAATCAATTGCTGACTGAATTTAGCTGGGGCAAAGGAAAGTTTATAAAATGAGCTTGATTACAAAACAATTATTTTTGAGTAAATATTACAGAACTCTAATAGCAGACTCATTGATTAAAACTGTATGGTTATGGCAGAGATTAACCACCATTAGCCCTTCGAATACTGAAAAACTTACTATCATGAGTCACCTTGTGGTTCATTCCTGTCCTGACTTGGGTGGCCAGCGATCCTGCAGGTGCCATGTTGAGTGCGCCTGCCCACAGATTGCATCTGAGAGCTTGCAGTGTCTGAGCCTGGGGCTCTTTGCAGCTGCACAAACTTTGGCATTTGGTTACTAGTGGTCAATGGCAACACGAAATAGTCGATGTGCGTTGTTTCAAATTTATCATGGGTCTTTTTTCAACATGGAAGTGTGTCAGGTGATACAATTTACTTATTAAAATTAAAAAAATGTTTCCTGCCACGTGATAAAATAAAAAAAACACAACCAGGGGGAGGTGGGTAATGAATAAAGAAATCAACAAAAGTTTTGGTGTATCATTTAGAGGATGGTAAATATTCTCCACTTTTTGAACTATGTAATCTCTATTTCACTCATTCTTTTCCATTATTGCACAAAACTTGAACAATAGTTGTATTATTTTATTTACAAAAAAAAAGGGGGGGAAGCTGGATTTGGCATGTGGACCTGGACCAATAATTTTATCTGTATGTAGCTTAATGGATTTAAAAGTCAGGTTTTAATGTGTTAATTTTGTTTTTTCTTTTTTTAGAGAACAGCAACCAATTTGAGAATTAAAACAAACCAAATGAAAATCATTCTATTGTGCATGTGAATGAGGAGACAGTGTTGAGAATATTTGTGTTTGCCTGAATTTCACACTGTTGTAAGCTGGCTTTGAAATAAGCACAAGTCAAACATTTCTGTTCATACATATGCTTACCTGGCTACTCTTCTCACACCACGTTCCAAATATGTGTGTGCTTCTGTCTTCCCTCACTGACGCTTGAGGAGGGAATCCTTGGTTTTATTTACCTCCATTTCTCCAGGGCCCAGCACAGTATTTGACACACAATATGCACTCAATTCTTATTTATTAACCACTGAATACAGGAGGCACAATTGGGCCAATTTAAAATGCTAGTTATTTGGTCTCAGTTTGTTCTAAAGATTGATGCAAGGTGCATGAACTGCATAATTTTCCAAATAGCTATACTACGGCTTATGCTCTAGGTACCAAACCCATTTTGGTAAACTTTCAGAAACATTTATGGAATTTTCTCTCCTTTTTTTACTTCTTTGACACATAATCTGGCCCTTTATTCTGGAAAGATCCCATTGTATTAGTGCTGTTTGCCAGCACCTCTAAGAGCAATGTCACACAGCCCTGGTTCTCGGGCCTCACATGCACAAGCACACATTCCCTCTCAGGAAAAAGGAAAGGAGAGCTTGGCAAATGAAATAAAACTTAAAGCAGCAAACCCTTGCCTGACTTTCAGAGCCCTTGATTTTCAGAGAGCCCAACTTTTTTTTTTTTTAATGTGTTTGGTACAGGGTCTTAGTATGCAGCTCAGACACGTAGTGATCCTCCTGTCTTCAGCCTCTACAGCACTGGGCTTCCAGGCCTATGCCACCACACTCCACAGACCCTGGAATTTTGAATTAGGTATTTAATGACTTCAAGTCAGGCATGGTTATGTGCACCTGTGATTCCAGTGCTTTGGGAGGCTGAGGCAGTTGTAGGCCAAATCAGGTAACTTAGCAAGACCTGATCTCAAAAAACTAACAAGTAATGGCTCAGAATTTTGTGTGGTGCAAAAGGCCTAGGTTCAATTCCAGTATTACAAAGAAAGAAAGAAAGAAAGAAAGAAAGAAAGAAAGAAAGAAAGAAAGAAAGAAAGAAAGAAAGAAAGAAAGAGAGAAAGAGAGAAAGAGAGA